AGAAGAAAAGTTTGAAGCTAGCAGAAGTTGGTTCATGAGGTTTAAGGAAAGAAGCCATCTTCACAACATAAAAGTACAAAGTGAAGCAGCAAGTGCTGATGCGGAAGCTGCAGCAAGTTATTCAGAAGATCCAGCTAAGATAATTGACAAAGGTGGCTACACTAAACAACAGATTTTCAATGTAGACAAAACAGCCTTATACTGGAAGATGCCATCTAGGACTTTTACAGCTAGAGAGAAGTCAATGCCTGGCTTCAAAGGACAGGCTGACTCTCTTGTTACAGGCTAATGCAGCTGATGAATTTAAGTTGAAGCCAATGCTCATTTTCCATTCCGAAAATCCTAGGGCCCTTAAGAATTTATGCTAAATCTACTCTGCCTGTGCTCTATAAATGGAACAAAGCCTGGATGACAGCACATCTGTTTACAACATGGTTTACTCAGTATTTTAAGCCCACTGTTGGGACCTACTGCTCAGAAAAAAAGACTCCTTTCTAATATTACTGCTCACTGACAATGTACGTGGTCACCCGAGAGCTCTGATGGAGATGTACAAGGAGATTAATGCTGTTTTCATGCCTGCTAACAAATCATCCATTCTTCAGCCCATAGATTAAGGAGTAATTTTGACTTTCAAGTCTTATTATTTAAGAAATAAATTTTTGTAAGGCTATAGCTGCCATACACAGTGATTCCGCAGATGTATCTGGACAAAGTAAATTGAAAACCTTCCGGAAAGGATTTACCATTCTAGGTGCCATTAAAAGCATTTGTGATTCATGGGAGGAGGTGTTCAGAAGTTGATTCCAACCCTCCTGGACGACTTTGAGGGGTTCAAGACTTCAGTGGAGGAAGGAACTGCAGATGTGGTGCAAATATCAAGAGAACTAGAAGTGGAGCCTGAAGATGTGACTGAATTGCTGCAATCTCATGATCAAACTTTAACGGATGAAGAGTTGCTTCTTATGGATGAGCAAGGAGTGCTTTCTTGAGATGGAATGTACTCCCGGTGAAGATTCTGTGAACATTGTTGAAATGACAACAAAGGATTTAGAATATTACATAAACTTAGTTGATAAAGCAGCAGTAGCAGGGTTTGAAGGGATTAACTCCAATTTTGAAAGTAGTTCCACTGTGGGTAAAATGCTATGCAACAGCATTGCATGCTACAGAGAAATCTTCCATGAGAGGAAGAGTCAATCTATATGGCAAACTTCATTGTTCTTATCTTAAGAAACTGCCACAGCCACCCCAACCTTCAGCAACCAAAACCCTGATCAGTCAGCAGCCATCAACATCGAGGCAAGACCCTCCATCAGCAAAAAGATTGTGACTCACTGAAGGCTCGGATAATGGTTAGCAATTTTTACCAATAAAATATTTTTTAGTTAAGGTAGGCACATTGTTTTTTTAGACATAATGCTATTGCACACATAACAGACCACAGTACAGCATAAACATAACTTTCATATGCACTGGGAAACCAAAAAATTCATGTAATTCGCTTTATTACATTATTTGCTTTACTGTGGTGGTCTGGAACTGAACCCACCATGTCTCTGAGTATGCCTGTCCACAGAGTCACTGTACCACAAAAACTGGTCCACAGTCAACCATTTCAGAAGGTAGCATATGATCAAGAACCAATGGTACTGAAGAAGTCCGAGCTGCTACTGAAGGAACTGGAGAAAAACAAGGCTCCAGGAACTGACGGAATAGCAATTGAGATGTTTTAACAGATGCCATGCTGGAAGCGTTCACTCATCTATGCCAAAAAATTTGGAAGACAGCTAACTGGCCAACCAACTGGAAGAGAGCCATATTTGTGCCCATTCCAAAGAAAGGTAATCCAACAGATGCGGAAATTATCAAACAGTATTGTTAATAACACAGGCAAGTAAAATTTTGCTGAAGATACTTTAAAAACGGTTGCAGCAGTGTATTGACAGGGAAATGCCAGAAATTCAAACCGGATTCAGAAGAGGACATGGAATGAGGGATATCACTGCTAATGCCAGATGGATCTTGGCTGAAAGCAGAGAATACCAGAAAGACGTTTACCTGTGTTTTACTGACTATGCAAAGACATTCAACTGAATGGTTGTGAAATCTTTGTAGAAGGATTTATTAGTCTTCTAAATGGATGAGAGAATACCAGAAGAGACAGTCCTAGTTTTGATTACATCTAAATTTTAAACATCCAATTTTAAAAAATAACCAAAATTAAAACAAAGAAAAAGAATTGTGGTACAGTGAATTACCTAACATGGACCTTCTAGCCATAGTCTTTGTAACTCCTACCAAATGACTGGGTGAGATTATGCAAGTGAGGTGCTTGTTGCCCACTAAGGGGATTGGATAGCTTGATAATAATGTAAATAAGGTTCATGGAACCCCAGTAGGAGTGGGCCCATGCAAATAATGTGTATGAAACCCTAAAAAGGGGATTCGTCAGTTATGCCATCCCACTAAGCTAAAAATGAGCCATCCCAGAGGTGGGAAGGGAGGATCTCACCACCATCAAAAAAGAAGTGAAGTGTGTCCTTTGGACCCAGGATCCCTGCACTAAGAAACTCCTGGAACCAGGAGGGAGGGAGAGAGAGAGAGAGAGAGAGACAGAGAGACAGAGAGACAGAGAGATAGAGAGAGACAGAAAGAGACAGAGAGAGAGAGAGAGAGACAGAGAGAGACAGAGAGAGAGAGAGAGAGCGCTGTAACACCAAAGACAGCAAGAAGCAGCAGTAGAAGAGGCAGAAGACCGGCAGGAGACAGCATGGTGAACTTCCCGGCCCACGGAGCTAAAGGTGAGTACCTGCAGGCCAAGGCTTACCGGCAGAGTGGGATGCCTCTGGGTACCTATTAGCAGAGCTAAAAGAGCTTTATAACACTTGGCAGGGCAGAGGCCAGCTGAAGGGGTCGAGGGCCAGAGAGAGACTTGCCTGTGGGCACAGCTGAGAAAAGGGTGTCTTGACTAAAGAACTGTATCCTGAGCACTCCTGAACCTTAACTGTAACCTGTTGTTTCCATAATAAACCCCATAATCATGAGTATTGTTTGTGAGTTGTGTGGCCACTGCAACAAATTCTTGAACACAGCAGAGAAGTAGAGAGCACCGTGGGAGGGACAGTTGGTTTCAGCATTGGTAAAAGCGTTGGAAGGTGGAGGCATCTGACCTCTGCCTCATAGTGATCAGCCTTGGACGGTTAATCTTGATTCTCCTTCTTCCTTATGTAGTTAGAAGGTGTCAGACACCATTTTTACAGAATAAAGAAGACTGATTTACTATTTGGTATGGATGGACTTGTGTTCCCCCAAAATATGTATTGGATCCTAACACTATACTTGTGGATGTAATCCCATTTGGGAATAGGGTTTTCTTTGTTATGTTAATGAAGCCATCTCAGTGTAGGGTGTGTCTTAAACCTAACCACTTCTAGTTATAAAAAGAGCAGATTAGAAAGAGAAGGAAGCACAAATGGGAAGACAGACTCCAGTCACTAAGGAAACAAGGAATGCCTGGGCTACAGAAGTCAAAAGAGACAAAGATCTGCCCACAGAGCTTATGGAGAGAGAGCATCCTCTACAGCTGGTGTCCCAAATTTGGACTTCTAGCCCCCTGAACTGTGAGAAAATTAATTTCTCTTCTTTAAAGTCACCACTTATGGTATTTCTGTTACAGCAACACCAGGAAATGAAGATACTATTGTTATAGTATAAAGAATCTACACAAGAATTTTGAGGGAAAAAAGTTAAACATAATAAGAAAAAAAGAGGAATTACTGAAAAGTAGTTAAAAAAAAAAACCCTGTAGGTAAGCAAGTTTATGTACCACTGGTATCTTCCATGAAATATGGTTATAAAAGTTCCCCTGATGATGGTATAGGCTAAATGACAATTAAGAGTTTTAGAAGAAGCAATACTGGCAAAATAAATGTTTTAGGTGGGAGAAACATCCATGTTTAAAGATGAAGATGTGAACTTTGACACAAAGAACGTCACATACAGAAAGTATACAAAGCATCTGTAAAGTATACACAGAAAAACTGAGACCCAACAGCAAAGGAGAGCAAAGACAAGAAAGAAAAGAAGACCTCTGAGAAAAGGGAAGAAAATGCTTTCTCATCAGTTTGCCAAAAATAACCCTGATCTGACAATAGGGAAACGATGCTTACGTTTGGAATCTGTCACTGCCACCACGTGACCTTGAACGAAAGATGTACTATATCTGTTTTCTCTTTCTCAAATTGAAATATTATGGCATAGGTTTCTAATCTATATTCATATAATTCTACGAAGCTCAGAGTTGATTAAAGGAAAAAAAAACTAGATGCACTAGAAGCAATCCCAAAATTGTCATAATTCATCAAGTGGTTTTAGTCAATCATTAAACCAAAAAACCATACCTGTTGCCATCGAGTCGATTCTGACTCATAGTGACCCTATAAGACAGAGTAGAACTGCTTCATAGGGTTTCCCAGGAACGGCTGGTGGATTCGAACTGCCAACCTTCTGATCAGCAGCTGAGCTCTTAACCTCTATGCCACTAGAGTTCCATCCAGCCAATTGTTAGATGTCCAAAAAAAGCTAAAAAATGTGAGATACATAAAATCGGAATATATAGCCATTTAACAAGCTAACAATGAGAGAATGTGAAAAGAATTGAGAACGGACAGAAGGCAGAAATGAACAAAAGATGGCCTGATGAATGCCGTAAAACAGAGGCGGGGAAAACACATAAAGAGATTGAGGATTTCAACCAAGGCAAGGAGTCTTGGGCCTGAGGCCCTTATGAAGGGAACTACTCTCCAAAAGAGTGAAGGAATGAGAAAAATGACACGTCATTCAGCATGAGGATGATATTAAAAGAAAAACTAGTGTCTAGAGCCCCAGCCCTTCCACAGACTTGGGGGCTCTAAGGTGAGCTTTCTTACCAAGATCCCAACCTGCTCCTCCTCGCTGTTCTGTGTGCTGAGCTGCTGCCGGAAATGGCTCCCACTCACCTGGACAGGTACTTGATGGAAAGTCTCCATCCTCCATCCAGGGCTCTGCCCCTTGCTCCAACTGGGTGATTAGTTTTGGTTTGGAAGAGCGAAGTCCTGTTCATAGAGAAAAAGAATGTGACTATGCTCATAAGCACAAGGAATAATCCCAGACCTCACTCTCAACTGGGGGGGCTACAAGAAGCACAGACATGTCAAGGAGGCCTTGAGGGTAGTATAAAGAATGTCCAAATCATGTAGTCACAGAAAATGTATGAGGGGAAGTCAGTTAGAAACCCAGGTCCTCCTTGAGGATGAGAAATTCGTATTTTTGGAAGCAGATGAATCCTGACATGAAAAATTTAGAGAACTAGGCTACCTCACACAACCTAGCTGCTAAGCTCTGTATGGTTCTGACTTTTCTGAGGGATGGAAGGAGCATAAACTACCAAAAAAAAAAAAAAAAAAAACTCACTTAAGAATTTTAAATACCCCAAATCATCTACCCTGTGAAAACACAAAGCTGCCCAGCAGACTAACTCTGAAACAAGGAGAAAGACATCCTTACCCATAGACACCAGATTCCCATAGTTTTCCAGCATCACGTCTCTGTACAGGGCCCGCTGAGTAGCATCCAGGTGTCTCCATTCAATCTGAGTAAAGTATACAGCTACCTCCCCAAACGTCAGTGATCCCTGCAAGCCAAACCCAATTCTGTTCTTCCGGGAACCCCAAAGTAGGGAGCTAGGAAGGCTTCACTGGAGAAGAAAAGCAAGATGTTCAAGGCCAGCTTCTGATATTTCAGATTGTGTTTACAGGGAAGGGAGTGAGAGACAGTTAAAAGGATGAAGAAGGCAAAGTACATTATGCATTAAGTAGTCAACTTGTTTCACTGGAATAAATACCCAAAAGTGGAGGAGCTGGGACAGGGTGAGGTCTGCGACCCCTCACTTTAGCCACACTGCCTTCCTCAACATTCTTCCAACAGACCTACCACACTCCCACCCTAGCCTGGCATTTGCTCATCCCTCACTTTATCAGGTCTTTGCTTAAATGTCACTTCATCAAAAAGGTCTTCTCTTTTCTCCTCTTCCATCCTCTACCACTCTCTACCCCGTTGTTGTTAACTGCTATCAAGTTGACCCTCAACTTATAGCAACCCAGTCCGCAATGGAATGAAACACTGCCTGGTCCTGTACCACCCCCACGATCAGCTACAGATTGGACCACTGCGATCCACAGGGTTCTCATTGGCTGCTTTTTGGAAGTAGACTGCCAAGCCTTTCTTCCTAGTCCATCTTAGTCTGGAAGCTCTGCTGAAAACTGTTCAGTATCATAGCAACACATAAGCCACCACTGACAGATGGGTGGTGGCTACACATGAGGTGTACTGGCTGGGAATCAAACTTGGGTCTCCCACATGGAAGGCAAGAATTTTACCACTGAACCACCAATGTCCTCAGATCTATCCTGTTATCCAGCTTTACTTTTCTTCATAGCATTTCTCCCTATCTGGCAGAAGAAGTTTATATTTATTGTCAGTATTCAAGGATTTATTCAATCAATCAATAAATAGAAGTCTGAAAGACATATACTTTATCCTAGAATTTAGTGACCATGGTCTGACTCTGGGGCAGAATACTTAAAATCAGAATTGCCTCTTATAGCAGTAGCAACTTAATATGTACCACCACAGTGCTATGCTCTAAGGTATGTATCATTGCTCTGAATTTTCACACCTGTATAAGGCATCGTTGAATCTATTTTGTGGCTAAGGATACCAAGGTTCACGGAGTTGAAAGAACTTGCTCAAGGTCACAGGGCTGAGAGGGAGTAGAGTATAAAAGCAGCTGTCAAAAGTGCTAAGAAGACTATGAGCAAATTGGAGACAATAACTATGACATATTAAAAGGAAAAAATGGGTAAGCCTAAAAAGTACATATGCAAAGATGTTTCCAATGAAATAATTTGTTTTGTTCAGAGTGGTAAGAATGTGGGTTATCTTTAATTTTTAAAATCTTCTTGTTACTGTTAATGTGTATAATAAAAACAAGTCATTTTGAAAATATTCAAATATTATTCACTTATTTCTTTCAAAATGCTGATTACTTCCTGTCAACTTCTCAAAGTCCTTCGAAACCCAGTTATCTCCAGGATAAAGGCATTCTAAACCCTGAATATTTCCAACTTGCTCTGGGGTCAGTCTGTTAGTATCTTCACTCCTTTTTCAGGGCATTCTCCTACCCACACCCCATCCTCCATAATTATGCAGCTTTCATTTATTCTCAGGAAGAGGTAAAATGATCACCTCCACCACTCCACCGCGCCCTGAAGACTCCTTTGACCCCTGAGGCTCAACAGAGCTCTGCCTTCCCCGTGTCATGTGCATCACTGACACTTTAGCCTCCAGGTCTTAGGATGCTAAACGTGTCTGTTTTTCATTTTCTGTGAATTTGCAAGGTCCTCGGGGGCAACACCTACACCTTGCTTATGAAGTATTTTTCAGTTTCTAGCACTCTAGAAAGTATAGATAGCAATAATCTATTTGGTGGGCATTATGGATTGAATTGTGGAATCCTAACCTCTACACATGTGGATGTAATCCTATTTGGAAACAGGATATTCTTTTTTATGTTAATTAGGTCATATCACTGTAGGATGTCTGAAACCTAATCACTTCTGAGTTATAAGGAACAGCACAGAGACATGCAAGCACAAACGGGGAAGGACAGGTGCTACACCACATGACCACACCACTAAGGAACTGAGGAATGCTGGAATCAACATAGACCTTCCTCCAGAGCCAACAGACAGAGAGCCTTCCCCTAAAGCTGGTACCCTGAATTCAGACTTCTAGCCTTCTGAACAGTTAGAAAATAAATTTCTGTTACAGCAGCACTAAGAAACTAAGATGGTGGATGACTATGTGGAGAGAAGAAGGGCATGAAGGGATGGCAGTGGGGAGAAGGGCCCTTTCTCTGCAGAGATGGACCCATCCAGGACTGGTTCAGGCATCTTGGTCCAAACTCCATGCAGATAAGCTTCAGGGCAAGAGGTACAAACCCAACCTCCCTTTGAAACACATGGAGATTTCTCCGGAAAAGGAAAAATCAAACTCGCCTGGATCTGGGCTCTTGGTAGTCTTGGGGCCATGTCTCCTGAACTGTTCACTCAGGCAAGGGCAGGCAATCCTTCGAAAGCCAATCTGGGGAAAAAGAAAGGAAATATGAGGTAGTCCTCCCACGTCCTACACTAGCTAAAACTTGCTCACCGCAAGCTGGACAAAATCAATCACCACGCTCCCTACTCCCTATAAACGTCACTGAACAGGTGAAGGTGGTTAGGGTCAGGAAGAAAGGCCACGGAACTGCTGCCTGGAACCTGGCTTTGAGTCCAGCCTTGCAGCACCCTCCAGGCCAAGCTGAGGCTGTTGGTCAAGCACCTTCGCCGACGCAAGTGGAAAGTCTCAAAGGTGACTCAATGTTTGAGGCCTCAGCGCAAGCCTTTAAGCTCCCTATGATGTGCCACTCATGACCCTAATACTCTACAGTATGCTTTCTCCTTTTTAAAATGAGCGATTGAGAGCTTCACATAACTAACGCCATGATGAACCTGTAAGTTTTTTCCTGCCTGTCTTCTCCTTTCTGCATACCTTTGTTAATGACTTTGTTTTGTTCTGTCCGGCCACCTGTGACTTACGATCCCCCACATGGTGATTAGAGCCCGGATGTCTGGCATGTATATCTTTAGCCCGATAAGGAGATGTCCGGCATGTATCTCTTTAGTCTGATAAAAAGTCTCTTGTAATTGTCTTGTAATGAATAACTCATCTGGCCATGCCATCTGTGGGTTATGTGCCAAAAAGACACTTCTAACCCTGGTAAAAATCATATATAAGCTCTAATGTAAAATTGCCTTTTGCGACTCCACAAAGACAGCCTGCATTGCTGTCAGACTCCCCGTTGGTGCCACCTCCTAAACAAACTTTCTCTTTTTGACTTGGAGTACATTTCACTGGCTCAACTGCTCCAGGGCATGGACCCTAATCAGGCAACACAGTCATAAGCGAAGAAGATATTAGCTCCAGATGATGGATACTGCACAGCTTCTGAGGATGGGACCCTGCCCTACCTGTTGTCCTCTCCTACCCTGGCTTTTCCTCAACCTGCCCCCCAGGAAAGAAGGGGCACATGTGGCCATAGCCCGAGGTTTTAGCATCCTAGCCTGGCGGCCACCACTCCCACACCCAGCCGTGCACAGCGCGGAAGCAAAGTCCCACAGAGGCCCCAGCCAATGTGAACCCCAAGTGGTGCAGGACTCATGCCCAGGAGGGCGGAGTCAGAAACACAAATGGCCGCCACCAAGGCCTCTGGGAAATGTAGTCTGGGAAATGTGCCAATGCCTTAGTGTCTCCATTTTCGGTGCACATTAACATCCCTGGGGATCTTTAAAAACTAGAGATACCCTTCTTTCCTTTGGGGGCCTGATCCAGGACCTTCATTTATTTATATATGGCTAATATTTACTGAGCCTTTATACACCAGACGTCATGCAGAATCCTCACCACCACCAAGTCCATTTGGTAGCTACGTAATGATGTAATCACCTCCATAATGAGATCTGAAATAATGCAATCACTTCTATGATGAGATGTTATGAGCAGCCAATCAGTTGAAAGGGAGTTCCTTGGGGGTATGGCCTACACCCAATATCGGTGGACTTTCTGGCAAAGCTCATTGGCTTTTGCTTGCTCTGGATCCTGCAGCTGGCTCCTGTTAATCTGACCTCTGGTTCTTGGGACTTGAGCTAGCAGCTTACCTACCAATCTTGGGATTTGTCAGCCTCCACAGCCTGTGAGCCAGAGGCCTACTGTCTGACCTGCCAATCTGGGGTTCACCAGCCTCTGCAGCTACATGAGTCAGGAGAACCCTCCAGCCTGACCCACAGACATGGGACGTTCCAGCCTCTAGAACCACGAGCTATTTCCTTGATATAAATCTCTCTGTATATATATATTTATATGCTTCACTGGTTTTGCTACTCTAGAAAACCCAAGAGTTGTTCTAGAGAAACAAAATTGTAAGGATGAGTTTTTTAAATTGGTTCTCAAATCTGGTTAGTCTTAAAGATGTTGATGACTCTGCTTCCAGGAGTGAAAAGGGCACTGCTAATCCATGGTGTGAGATGGCAATAGAAATATGCAAAATATCACCACCAATAGATCAGGTATTGCTGAGAGGCAAGCCTCTGGGTGATTGCATGTTTCATACCTTTCTACAATTTTGTCATAATGAGAAGTATAAGGAAGCTGGTTGGTTGGTGCTACTTTCACTAGACAAAGCGGCCCAAATGCCCATGGTCTCCAATCCTGTCACATTATCTTCCCTCTCTCAGTCTGCACCTATGGCCTCATAAGGAGTTCCTTATGATCAGTTGACTAACAGAAAATGCATGCCTGGTCTACAGATGGTTCTCCACAAGATGCAGGTACCACTTGAAAGTGGGCAGCGGCAGTACTACAGCCCCTTTCTGGGACCTCCCAGAAGGACAATGGTGAAGGGAAATCCTCCCAACAGGCAGAACTTTGAGCAGTGCACCTGGTTATTCACTTTGCTTGGAAGGAGAAACAGCCAGATGTTCAACTGTATACTGATTCAGTCTGTGGCCAATGGTTTGGCTGGATGGTCAGGGACTTGAAAGGAACATGATTGGAAAATTGGTGACAAAGAGGTACAGGGAAGAGGTATGTGGATAGACCTCTCTGAGTCGGCCAAAGAAGTGAAGATATTTGTGTCTTGTGTGAATGTTCACCAAAGGGTGACCTCAGCAGAGGAGGATTTTAACAACCAAGTGGATAGAATGACATGTTCTGTGGACATCAGTCATTCTCATTCCCTAGCCACTCCTCAGTGCCCAATCTGCCAGCAGCAGAGACCAACAATGAATCCTCAGT